GATAGCTATAAGGGTGCGGGAGATATGAGGCTGAAAGTGGTTGAAAGTGGCTTTCTATTTCGAATGTTTTGTTCGATTTTTTCGAATTTGTTCGAATTAAATTCAAACATAAAATTCTAATTGGTTCGATTATAGAACAATTAAAAACGTTCCAGAAACGTTGAAAATAGTTCGTTTGACTAAACGTAAAAATTCTCTAATTAGTCTGGAAACGGGGGACCTAATTCTTGCATTTTGTGAAAACGGGTAAGATTAGCTCTAATGTAATTATCTTAATCTTCACTATCGTTACTTTTTGCCCAGCGAAGCGGGTCCTTGCAGCTAGATTCTAGATTACTTAGAAAAACAGTCTTTTATATATTAAAAAAAAACTATACTATTACATACAAATAAAAACCCAGCGAAGCGGGATCTTGCAGCTAGTATATAATAAAACTTGAGATTGGAGACAGATGATAATGCTTGTAAGAATAAAGTATTAATATGGATCATATCTTGAATTTCAGTCATAAAGAATTACAAAGTTTTTTGTTGATTTGAAATAAGAGGCAGAATGTAGCAATCTAATAAGATGAATTTTAACTTGAAACAATGAAATTCTTACAATTGAAATAAATAAAATATTTATTTTTTCAACAAGCACAAAAATTATATTTTTTTATATTCATCATCTTGTTGAAGTATAATTGTACGCTTTAATAATTAAGGCGAGTATAAGAATAATAATAAAAGAATATAACCAGATAGAAGAAAATAAAGGATGTTGATAACATTCCTTCAATTTGCATTTAAGAGATTCTGAAATTGCATGCTTCTCTTCTTTCTTGTTAATATTTTCATTTGAAGAAACTCCAATCGGTTCTGCCACGGATTCGATTTCTAGCGGCTGACCCATCATGTAGTGTTTTCCTGTCTTTGTGATCCGAACATTTATGGTTGTACCTAAATATTCTTCTTTTTTTGGTACAAGCACCTAAAGAGAATGGCCATAATTTTATTTATTACTGTAATTATATGGTTGCACTACACAATATATGAGGTATGACACAAAAAAGTGAGATTAACCTTATCTTGGGAACCATGAATGGGAGAAGAGACAAAGAGATAGTTATAGAGCGTGTTTTAACCTGTCACTGTGAGACAAGACTCAATTCCATCACTTTATTCAATATGAGTGGATGCTGTTCAGATATAAACATTTTCTTATCTTTGGTCAGTAAATCTCAGAGTGCAAGAGTGAACAGCAAGTTAAAGTTTCTAGTAAAAATGAAGAAATCTGCAATGGAAACTTTTCAATTATTTAGACCAAGGCTGCCCAAACCCAGGCCCGCCAACGCATTTGAATTTGTCTGCCCATGGTAGCGGTCGGCTGTCACCATGTACGATGTCGTGCTACCAATTATGCCAACTGCCACGTGATTGGTCGAATGCGGAATGAACTATGACTTGAGTCACCACCACCACACAGCTGTTAATATCTAACCTTGGCGTTTATTACACTTGTTCTATTAGTTTTGAGTTGACTTTTGTGTATTAAAATTAAATTGTTGGATGCTTCTTCAGATTGTTGTTCGAATAGTTACGTATACATAAATTTACGTTAGGTTAGGGAAGACTTCCCTGCAATGTGTGATCTTGTTTTGCAGGTTTTAAGCAGATTTGGCTCAACACATATTTGCAAAAAGGCTTTTTCTACTCTGCACTCTGTAAAAAATAAATACCGAAGTTCTTTAACTACGTCTCATATTTCAAATTTGATATTATTATCTGACGTTGATAATTTAAGATATAAACCAATTGACTAAATTATTATATAAAAAGATAAATAAAATATGAAAAGCCAAAATTGATAAAATATCACAAAAAGGGAAACTTACTATAACTTTTATTGCAGATGTCAGATTTGTCACCAAATATTGAAAAATTATTAGCTAATAAGCCCCTTCATAGGTCTCATTGATGTATTTTTTTATTAGGTATTATTAAAACACATGCAACTTAAAGCTTGTTTGATTCAAATACCTATCCATTTATAGAAGAATCACGAGTGTAAGCAAGTATGATTCACTAGGTGGCCTGCCAACTGGCATGTAATTGAAATGAATTGGGCAGCCCTGATTTAGACTGAAGCTTATGGTGAAGAGTGCATATCTCATACACATGTTTTTGTATGCTACAAATGATTTTTGAAATGTAGAGAAACTGTAGGTCATTCTGATATTTTCTTTGATATCCAGGATATTAAAATGGCAGAGTGGATTCCCAGCAGTCAGAAGAGAAATCAGCAAAACTGCATGAATGTGTGAGAAAGAAACAACTAGAATCATAGAGAAAAAGGTTGGATTTTGCATTAAGACAAAGTGCCAGCCCACAATACAGACTGCGAAGCAGTTTTTAGCTAATCATATCACCACTGTGCTTAAGCACCCATCCTATTCAACAGATCTGGCTTCCTGAAACTTAAGTCAGTGCACAAAGGAACACACTTTTTGTTGGTACAAGGTATAAAAGAAAACTGCAATGGAGATTCTCAATAGCTGTTCAGAAAGTGATTTGAAGAATTGCTTTGAACATTGGTGAACTATGATCTCCTTCTACATTGATTCTCTCAATTTGTTAAATAAAAAGAGATACAGACAGTCTTGCTTTTTTCCCCCGTATCAGACCTCATATGTTTAGAGATACAAAATAACTCCAGACAAATAATTTCTTACCTGTTCATAAAATTTATTATGGCCAACGTAATAGTTCTTGTCATGAGACACCTCTGTCACCAACACCTTCTGCATCTCTCCCATCTTATGATCGTACGAAGTGTAGGTTTGAAACAGTTCAGTCATTCTTTTAGTACGCTTCTTTACCTAATAATAATATGGATAGTTTTGTAATAGTCATTTATAAAAATCTTTAAATTTGATTTTATTGCATCATTGTCATAATAGTTTCTATTTATAAATTTAAAGAATTCACTAAAACAAATAAATTTACCTCCTGTGCAGGTATCCTTTTCATCTTTGCTGCTGGAGTACCCGGACGGGGATAAAACTGATTAATGAACAAACTTGGAAACTTGTATTGTTCAACCAATTTCATAGTACATTCAAAATCCTGTAATAATTAATTAGTTCAATATTAATTTCTATTTCCATGAATGTAAGAAAAGGCAAATGGTGATACTGTGACCACTCACAATAGAAAACAGCATGTGACCTTGCAAGGGTTAAAAAAATCATCATAATTTGTATATGGATGTGACTCACCTTGTCTGTTTCAGTTGGAAAGCCACATATGATGTCGGTGGCTATTGTGATACCGGGCACTCTGTTAATAAAACATTAAGAATTATAAATTATTGTTTTATTTAACTGAAGAATCTTCTTAAATCGTTAAGAAATTTCTTTTTTCACAATTTTAAAATAGTAAACAAAAAATTTTTTTTGATCTCTTGCCATATACCTCATATATTTCTAACTAAAATTTGCGTTTGATGAACTTATACAGAATAATTAACATAATTTTATTATTATAAATTAACACTTCAATCACTGATGGAAATGACAGACCTTGAACAAAGGCAGAATATAGTGATCTGTTATTATATATCACATGAAACAGTTCTGTCATATTATTAGTTTACACAGCATAGTATCATGAGTAACTTATTGGAGGTATCCTATTTTGATTTAAATGTTTACCAGAAGAGCTGATGTACAGTACAATAGACTTCTTCCCACAATACACTAAAAATAATCAGTTCAACACATGCAAATAATTATTTAAAATATACTTAGCTATTTTATAAAACTTTTGAATTTAATGAGCTATTAGTCAAAATAATTTTATATAATTAATTGTGAGCCATGTCTGGAAAGTAAGTACCATTTCGTTCTACTGCCACTGCAGTGATAGTATTGCAGTTCAGCGCCTGCACACTTATGTCTCTGGTTGATTGTCAGTCCAGTGATGCCAGTCCAGCCGAATTGTGTTATTTTTCCACGTGTTAGTGAGCATTCAAAATGTTTAAGACAATTGCCAATCCCACCGACTGTGAAGTGCATTCTGTAATACAGTTTTTGAACACAAAGAATGTTAAGCCAGTTGAAATTCATCGTCAACTTGTAAACATTTATGGTAAAAATATAGTGAGTGATGAAATGGTGAGAAAGTGGGTTTGACAATTCAATGCTGGATGCACTAATGTTTATGACAAAGCACGGAGTGGCCGGCCTTCTGTTGTCAATGATGGTTTGGTTGCAAAAATGAATGAGAAAATTCTTGAAAACAGACGGTTTACAATAAGATTGCTTTGTGATGAGTTTCCACAAATTTCAAAAACTGTTTTACATGAGATTGTCACAAATTGCTTAAATTATCACAAATTGTGTTCCCATTGGGTTCCCAAAATGCTTATGAATGTCCACAAAGCAAAGTGACTTGGAAGTGCTTTGACATTTCTCACCTGATACAGTGAAGAGGGTAATGATTTCCTAAACAAAATTATTACCGGTGATGAAACTTGGATTTGTCACTCCAGAATCAAAACAACAGTCAATGGAGTGGAGGCACTCATGGTCCTCCACAAGACACAAATAGAATGTCCCAGAACACAGTGCAGCACGAAAAATCATGTGCACTGTGTTCTGGGACATTCTATTTTTATTGCCGTACAAAAGAAGCACAACACCAGTACCACATATAGCACAACCAGTAACAAGTGCTAATACAAAATACAAAATGCGTTCTGGGACAGACAGGGCATTCTGCTTGTTGCATTCCTTCCCAGAGGTGAAACCATCAATGCAGAACGATACTGTGAAACATTGCAAAAACTTCGGCGTGCAATTCAAAACAAAAGGCAAGAAAGTCTCAGTAAAGGCATTGTGTTGCTTCATGACAATGCACGTCTCCATACTGCTGGTGTCACTCAAAACCTTATTCAACAATTTGGTTGGGAGCAGTTCAATCACCTGCCATACAGCCCCGACCTCACACCTGCAGACTACCATTTGTTCTTGAACTTGAAGCATGATTTTGGAGGGAGACACTTTGCCAGCGATGACGACACAACAACTGATGCTCAGCAGTGGCTGTCTTCACTGGCAGCATCTTTCTTTGAAAAGGGTATAGACGAGTTGGTTTCCTGATATGACAAATGTCTGAACAATGGTGGTAACTATGTAGAAAAATAGTTTCTGATATGCTCTTTCATGTAAAAATATATTTTGTTTTGAAAAAAGATTTTTTATGCGAGTTTTTCCAAAATGGTACTTACTTTCCGGACACGCTTTGTACTTTAAAATAAACATATTGTATATGCACCTTTCTCTTAGGAAGTCAACCACATGCCGAAAATCGTCGATACAATACTCTCTCTTCATGTCGGTCAGCACCAGATCACTACCTGACTGCACAGGAATGTGGAGAAACGAATAGACTCTAGGGTGAGATAGAATCTTTGCCATATCCTGTAAAAGTAACATAGAAATTTTAAAAAATAAAAGTTAGTTTTATTTTGGTAGTCATTAATTTCAAACCGATATACTTCTAGATATTCCAGAATGTATGGAGGATTGGTCATGCCTAACCTCAGCATGCAACCATCTGGTATCTCCTCGACGAGTTTGTACAGGAGTCGGGGCAGCGTCTCACCAATGTCACGGCCATATGTTCCGGTGTCCTCAGATGTCAACCAGATTTCTTTCACTCCCTCTGATAAAAGAAGTTTAATTACTATATAATATAAAATAATTAACTAATTATATATATAAGGAGATATATTACTATATAATTAACATAAAAATGAATATATTTTGTTTTAAATCAACCTCAATTTTTCATTGAAAATGAAATCTATCATTTTTGGATGTATTGTTTTCTCAGAAACATGATTTATTTGGAGACCCTAGAAATTGAATGCTAGTTGAAGCAGATTTAATTTTCATAGTTTAATAGTTTCTTCATTTATCATTTTTCTGCATCTATTTTTATTGGTGTTATGTTTTTTTAGTCTCAAAGAACATTAATCTTTAACAATGTGTAACAGATTAAAAATGTTATACATTGGTAGTAGTGATGATGGTTTATATGCTTAGAATATAGTGTAGCAAAGTAGCAATTTGGATTCTGTGACCTTACCTTAACTACTGGGTGACAAGCTAAAGGGTGTAGGTGTGATGAAAGGTTAGTTCAGCTGGTAACACTTGTCTGTCACCAGATCTGGCAATGCACACAATGTTTTTTGGTGATGAACTATTATAAAGGCAATAATTGTTGAAATAGTTTTTTTTAGGCTTCCTTTTATGACAAAAATAAAAAAAAGTTATTATTATTGTTACGAGCTGTAGGGCTTGGGATACAAATTCAGAATACCATTTACCAAAACTGACAGTTTTTAATTAGATACACTAACAACAAAAACGTTATATAACTCATTAAAAGAAAAACATCTCAAACATTCTTTTTTTTCAAATTGTTCTTTTTCTTCTTATTTTGAATTGTTCTTTTTTCTGCCACTCTCCACACCATTGCGCTAGTCTCTCCAAGAACTGTTAACACTACCTGCAAATGCATGCCTTCTCCATTTGCTACTATGTACTTTCTTCTGTTTTTACTAACTCTTATTCCAATTAAAGGAGATTTTTTTTGTCTTTTTGAATGAATGGAATTAATTAAAAACAAGAGTTCTTGATGAGAAGAAGAAAGCACAAATCAGTTACATTTGTTAATTAATGAAAGATGTGAAATTATCCAATAGTTTATGACTCCTGTGAGTAATGTCATGATCATTCAGGTAAAAAAAAAAAGAGTAAGAGAAAACAGAAAAATTATGAATAAATACAAGTATATGAAGTCTCTGGTATAAGAATGCTTCTAAGTTCATGATCTAAGATTTTATATCTTATACTAGAAAAAAATGCTTATCAGATCTTTAATGAAAGAATTTCTCTTTGCCATTCTTCAAATGTTAAAAAATTTTAATGAATATACCATTGTTTACCCTACTCTCCTTCTTTCTTTCAGTATTCATCAAATTAAAGATGCCAAATAGAAATTTAAATAAGTTTAGAAATGCATAAAATATATATAACTGGAAGATAGTGCAAGCTTTTCAGATTTGTTTCAGATTTCAGAGTTTTCAGATTTGTCCTTTCATATCATGGAAATACAAAATCATACAGATGAGTCAAGTTTCTTTTTTGTATTTAAATAAGGAAGAGTCTATGAAATTGCCAAAATATCTCTTCAGCATCAAATTTGAAGAGACTAAAGTTTGTCATCTTCGAGTTGCATATGTTTTTATTGTTAGACAAAGCACAATCATTGGGTGGCAGCACGTCACACATCATTTATGCCCATTATAGGCAAATCTGAGGCACAACTAGAGAAAAAGTCCAACCATCTAGTTGAACCAATCACAAAAATTTGAAATTACATTCATATTCTAGGAATTCTGTTTAATGGTCCACATAATATCATCGTCCACAAAAAATTTATTTTTCAATTTTTTTTTATTGATTACATACTCCCTATTAGTGTAAAAGTTTAGACTTTATTCAAGTAAAAGGTATGAATAAAATAAAAAATGTTTTGTAACTAAATATAAATTAGTTATGAAACAATTACAAATTTATAGATTAATTTAAAATATTTTTGACAAATATTATGAAACAGAATTTTAAAGATTGTAAAATCTTAATGAAAATGGTGTCATTTAAATTATAATACACAAGTATAGTAAAGACCAAAGTTAATAGTTTCCTCTTTCTCATAATTTACATCTTTCTTTTTACTTTCTAATTTTATAAATTTTACATAATGTGTTTTAATTTTTAATGTTCTAAGTTATCTGACATTTTAAGTTCTGAAACATAGTATTATGAATCAAATTTTATTTAATTAAATAAATATAATGTTTGTTGATGGTAATTTTTTTTAATATCCATGGAAATAAGAAAGACACTAAATGCAATCTTCCCATTGTAAAAAGTATACATAAGTAGAAATGGAAATTTTAGTGTGTGTTAATGTCCAAAACAAGAACATGTTGGCAAGATGACCAAGGGATCAAGATTGGATGAAATCTTCGGGGTTGATTTCTTGCCATGTCAGAATTATTTGAAATTGGACAAAAATCAAAAGACCCACATTCAGGTGCTCCTTGCAAAAAAAAGTCCCGCATATAACAGTAAATAAAAAGGAATAAAAACAACAGTAGTGAATAAATATCATAATCTAATCTTATTTAGTGGAAATAAGTTATACTAAATAAAATCCACACATGCTAATTGAGGAGACTAAAGAATTTTTTGTTAATAAAACATTTTTGGCTCATTAGAGTGAAAAACATTTCATTAATAAAAACTTCTTTGTCTTCCTCAATTAGCAGATGAGTGGATTTCATTTAATCACAGTGGCAAGTTCTTAATGGATTTTAAATTATACTACATGTTTTTGTTGAATTTTAATGAAATTAAATAAATTACTTCCATATTTACAAAATGTTAAATCATTAATTACCATACCAACCAATTTATCACAAAACAAATTTACCTTTAAAAGCCTGTTTGGCTCGGGCTACAATCTCTTCAATGGAATAACTACCCAATTCACCTCTGGCATGTTTTGTCTTGCAATAAGTACACTGATTTAAACATCTAATTAATAAAATTTCATAAATCACAAATCAAAATTCAAAAATCTTATAAACTATAAAAGTATGCATTTTGCCATTTCTGCATATTAATTAAACTGTGAATTTTACAAGCATTTAGTTATAACTGGTAGTAAATGGCAGTTGAAGCAGCAAAAGCATTAGCCGTCTCTCTGAGAGACTCTGGTTTGAGCCCAAATTATGCCCTTGGATAATTTTGCAAATAATTTGACCCTGATGCATTAGACACTGTTCCCACCCAGGACAATTGCACCATTACAGATTAGTGATGTGCCAGATATCCATATCTGTATCTGTGGATATTTGAGGGAAAAAAAAGATCTGTATCCATTACTTTTAGCAGATTTTTAACGGATCTTTTATCTTAAGAATTTCATACTGATATGAAATTTTAAAGATAGGTAGCAATAAAATACTAATAACTTCAATTCAAACCACTTTTTATTTGTTAAAATCACATATTTGGCACATTCATATTGCAAACATTTTATCATGCAAAAATCATTTACTATCATAAAATATTTCCATATTACACTACTATTATTTTTTGTCGACATTATTTTTATTTTAATTTAACTCAACACTTTCCAAAAACACAAATGTAATCTATGCTATCACGTGTCACACTAAACTATAAACAAAAATGTGCAGAGCAAGTCAAAACATGTCGCGTTACTAACGCAAAGCATCAACTATTGGTACAAGGTCACACGTACCAGCGCCAACTGAGTACAAAAGTTGAGATCCGGATACAGATCATGTTTCGTATCCGTATCCGCAGATCTAGAGACTAATGATCCGTATCTGTGGATATACATTTTTAACAATCGGGCACATAACTATTACAGATACATAAAAGTTCCTCCATGCCCAAAAATGAAAATCTATGGCACAAGATTATCTTTTCTGTACCTGTACTTTCAACAGAAGTAAGAAAAGAAACAAACTTTGACATAAGAAAACAAAAAAAATAAAAAATTTTAAATTTCTTCTTTTTGCATATTTAAACATTGTTTAAAATTATTAAAAAATATCATGTCACACTATATATCTTCTCAATATATATTAGCAGTGGCATGCTGTCCATGGAAGCTGTGGAGTACCTCTTCCCTTGTGTTTTCTAAAATATACATATTGCACAATTACTTTAATATTTTAACATTCTTTAAATTACTTAAAATTAATATTTTGTTATAACTGTATTATGCATTTTATTACAAATTTCTATACATGTGAAAAACAATGATAAGATTGCTATTGTATATTTCAATAAAAATTTGTGTATGCATATTCCCAATGGAAGTGCCCTATTGTAAAATACGGGACAGCTTGCATAGCAAAAATATCTGAATCATGTAAAGCAGCCAGATTACAGGCATTCGCACATAGCGCATGTGCGAATGCCTGTAACAGAACACCAACCTCATGCGATTTAGCTGGTGGATGTTACACACCAAAATATTGTATAATGCTTTCAATGATTCCATCCATTAGCCACTGGTAGGGAGCCATTGGTAAGTGCGTTGTTTTAAGATTTAAAAAGTAAAGATTTTATATTTTTATGTACACTTCTTTACAAAGCTATATTTAGTTATAATTTTCTTTTAATTATAATTATATTGACAGATTTTCAGACAAAATCTTTAGAATTTTTATNATAATATTTTGAATATACTGCAATATTGCACAATACAAAAATTATGCAGTCAAAATATTAGCAGCAATCAAAACTAAATTTTGTCTTTAATTTATGATGTTATTAAAAATTTGAGTAAAAATACTTTTATCCTTGAATATCAGAAAAAAAACTGGATGTTTAATAAAACTGCTGACAAAAAACACTAAAAATCCAGCAAACAATACTATATTAAAAGAACACCTCTAATAGAGCCCATCTCAAATATTTACAAAAGCTGGAGATATATAAGATATTGGAAAGACTAACACCAGTGATAAACTATAAGGATGGCAATGCTATCTCATTGCCATGGAAATCACTATTTATAGTCTCCTCAAGAAAATTCAATACTTAATGTATATTTGTTAGTTTCATTAATTTTTATTTCTGTGAAGTTTATTTAATTTGTTTTTAACTATGTAAGCAGCTGCCTTCATGTGCACAGCAGTGTCCAATCATATGTACGGTTCTTCATTTTCAAAATACATGTTCTATTTTGTGTTCTTTTTTAGAATATATTGATCTGATAATGACTATTAAAAATATACAAAATAGGGGACCCAAAAATAATGGGAAAAAATCGGTGGTGTGCCATCCATGGAAGCTGTGGAAGTGTCTCTTCCCTTGTATTTTCTAAAATATAAATACATATTGTGCGATTATTTTCATATTTTAACATACTTTGAATTATGTAAAATTAATATTTTATTATAACCACATTATGTATTTTATTACAAATTTCTATACATGTGAAAAACAACAATAAGATTGCCATTGTACATTTGTATATGTATATTCCCAATGGAAAAACTGTATTGTCGAATTTGGGACAGCTTCTACAACGAAAATATTTGAATGGTATAAAGCAGCCAGATTACATGCATTTGCGCATGTACTTTACAGAGCACCAATCTCTCATGGTTTAGCTGCTGGATGCTAGACACCAAAATATCATATAACACTTCCAACAATTCTACCCATTAGCCACTCGTAGGGAGCTATTTGACTAAATGCATTGTTTTAAGATTTAAAAAGTAAAGAAGATTTTATGTTATTCTTATGAATGTTTCTTTACAAAGCTGTATTTACTTATAATTATATTGACAGATTTTCAGACATAAAATCTTTAGAATTTTTATCACTTTTAGATGTTAATAATTTTAAATATTATGAAAAACAATTTTCCAAAGTGAGTTTTAATTCTTTTAAGTAAATTTTATGGAGAACTTTTTGATTTATCTAAATTACGTAGTGAATTGCAATATTTATATTAACATCCAGACTATATTGACAAGTCACTCTTAGATATAAAACATATTATAATTAATGATGATCCAAACAAAGATGTACTAAAAGAATTATACAATTTAATATCATTAATTTTTACGATACCCTCTACAAGTGGGTCTGTTGAGTGCAGTTTTTCAGTGAATTGATACATTGACAAGGAACACTCAGTCAGAGGAAAGATTGTTATCATTAGCATTGCTTTTAATAGAAAAAGAGTTTTTAAATACTTTGATGGAATCGATGACAAGCAATTTTTATGATAAAGTAATTAACGACTTTGCGGAAGAAATTGCCAAATAGAGTTAGTTTATAAAAAGTAATAAAAACAAGATTTTAAATCTTTGTTTCCCTTCAATTATCTATTTTAGAATTAAAATAAATACACTGTTTATTTTTGTCATTTCCAGTATGTTCAAAATTTTTATGGAAACACATTTCTCTTTCAACAAATGTCATGGCACGCCACTGTATATTAGTATACAAATTCTCTATTATAACTGTAAAGAAGTGCCATAGTTTTTATTTGTTGGCTGTCTTGGCATGGTGCTATATAGTTTAAACCATTTCTGGGAGCATAACCCCAATTTATGACACAGTCTGACTGACACTGAGAAACAATTTCCAAATTTGAAGATAAAATCAATATTTTTAAACTTGTGCAAGGTTCTGAATAAAATAATTTTGTTGTCATTATGTTATATTTAATAATAAAAAATATCATTGAATATGAAATTTTAAGAACTTTAATCAATTAAATCCTCAAAAATTCAAATAATAATCTACCTTTCTGAGATAAAAATTCACATTTACCCTGTATTAATCGGAATAATTTCGATAAGTGGATTTTTTCGAACTTTAGGCAACTGTAAAGAGGCACCGCCAGTCTTTTTACCACCTTCTTTTTTAATTCCTAATAATCGTACAGAATGACCTGAAATATATAAAAATACACATTAAATAAAATAGCATAAAAATCATTTTTAGATATATATGAATTTAACAAATTATATTGGAATTTTATACCTTTCAGGGCCTCTTCGACCACTTCAATCACCCTGTCAATCTGATGTATTCCTATAATGCTGAGACCCTGCAGATAACTAGATTTTGGAGCTGCCTGAGGCACACATCCTGCCACAACCACATATTTCTTCTGATTGAGACCAGCCTCCACGGCATTACGAAAATGTTGTTCAGCCGGACCCTTAACTGTACAGCTATTAAGTAACCACAGATCGGCTTCCTTAGAATCATCTATTATAAAAATTTATTTTTAATAAATGTTAATATTTGAATATTTATTACATTTTCAAGATATAAATTTTAAACAAGTACTTTAAATTTGCCTATTATTTAATATGAAAAAAATTAGAATAATTTAAAAATTGAAAAGTGAGTTAATTTCAAATAAGAATGTAGAAGGCTGGCAAAGATTACTTAATACAGTAATTTTTGACATGAGCCAAAGAATGAAATAAACAAAAAAGAGAGCCAGAGATAGTCAAAAAAGGGATACACACACAGTTTTTTTTGATAGGTGATAGCAACAACAAAATCTAGTGGTGGTGATATTGCAACCTAAGAACTTACATAGATTTTACATAAAAAGTTTTTATGCTTTTATGCCTGGTATGTATGAGCTACTCATTTGCCAAATTGATTTACTCCAATGTAGAGAATGTAGAGAAATTGATAATATATATTATTTTAAAAGATTCCTTTTAAACTTTAAATTTAAATAAATGTTATAGAATGTATTTTTATATGCGTTACATTAAGCTACTAATGACATATCAAACTGGTTACATAAAAAATGTAAAAATAACAACAATTATTGCAAGGATATACTAATGGAGTTAATCAAATTTGTCTGTGAACAGTTCATAATATTTTTTTTGCCCTCCTAAGACAAATTCATTACTACTTGAAAATGAGGGCCTCATTTGCACAAAACTTCCAATAAAGCATACACATTTAAGTTAGCAATTGCAAACAAAGATAAGAGGAGGCAAAGCCTTCTCTACTTTCCTGAACTACCCTTTGGTTTGGCCCTATAAAAATGAAAGTACAAATTGAGTATATGGTGGTTGTGTGCATCAGTAGCAGTCAAGTGTGTTTTGTNTGGCAAGTCACTCTTAGACATAAAAAATATTATAATTAATGATAATCAGAACAAAGATGTACAAAAAGAATTATATGATTTAATGTCATTAATTTTTATGGTACTGTCTATGAGTGCATCTGTTGAACTCAGTTTTTCAACCATGAAGCAAATTGATATATTGGCAAAGAACATTCAGTCAGAGGAAAGATTGTCGTCACTAGTGTTGCTTTCAATAGAAAAAGAGCTTTTAAATACTTTGATGGAATCAATGACAAGTGATTTTTATGATAAAGTAATTAACGACTTTGGTGAAAAAAATCACCAAATAGAGTTAGTTTATAAAAAATAATAAAAACAAGTTCTTATATCTTTGTTTTGCTTCAATATATTTATTTAGAATTAAAATAAATAAACTGTTTATTTTTGTCATTTCCAGTATTTGTTTAAAATTTTTATGAAAATAACTTCTATCATCACTGCACACTGCTTCCCTATCATCACTGCACACTGCTGGAAAATATTGTGTATTTATTTTAACAACGTATTTTAATCTCCTTCAAAGTACTCTCTCTTCATTAGCCTCAATACACTTGTCCAAATGTTTTTTCCATAGCTCAAAACACCTAGAAAATTCCTGTTCTGAAATGCCTCTTAGCACCTCTGTCATTTTTTTTCATCTCTTCTACTGCCTGAAATTGCTTCCCTTTGAGTTCCCTCTTCATCCTAGGGAACAAAAAAAATTGCAAGGTGCTAGATGAAGTGAATAGGGGGTGAGGAGCAGAGTCATGCCATTTCTTGTCAAAACTGCTGCACAAAGAGTGCTGTGTAAGTGGGCACATTGTTATGATGGAGAACCCAATCCTCCATTCCCACAAGTCCCTTCTTTTTGTTCTCACAGCATCACGAAGTCTTTTGAGGATTTCCAGATAACAATGTCGCTTGACTGTCTGGCTTGGATGGATGAATTCAAAATGAACAATTCCTTTCACATCAAAAAACAGATCAGCATGGCTTTCACATTCGACTTCACTTGTCTTGCTTTATTGGGATGAGAAGATCCTGATGTTTTCCTCTGGTTGGATTGATGTTTGGTTTCCAGATTGTAACCACAACACTACGATTCATCACCAATTATCACCTTAGAAAACAAATCTGGATAATTTTTCAAAGCCTGACAAGCCATCAAGCAATTGTCTTTCTGATCGATGGTCAGCAAGTGCGGAACAAAGTTTGTGGAAATTCTTTTCATGCCGAGTTCTTGTGACAAAATTCGCTGGATCAAACTCCATGAAATCCCAGACAAATCAATGAGTTCAATGATTTGACAATGAGTTTATGAATGAGTTTAATGAGTTTATGAATTTTCTCAACATTTTTGTCAGTTTGAACATTGGATGGACAACTAGACCTGGGTTGATCTGCAAGAGACATTTCTCCTTTTTGAAAGCAGGAAACCACTGGTAAACCCTTGTCTTACCCATGGCATCTTGTTTATAAACACATTGAATCATTTCAACCATTTCTGATCCACTTTTCTCTTAACAGGAAACAAAATCTCACAGAAGTGCATTGCTCTTTAAAATCTAACATCATGTTTTCAACAAAAACGAAAAATAGCTCTCACAAAAAAAAAAAAATTGCTACGGGCCAACAAGTCTTGAACATGCTGATGCCACTTTGCATACTGATTCAAGAAAATTCTGTCTACTGACATCTAGTGGCAGATATGCATACTACGAATCTCCTGCCCTCCACAAAATTATTCCCATTTTTTTTCAGTCCTCCACATATAAATATTGGTGCTCAGATGGGAGCAAACTACAGTCTGTCATGCCAATTGATGAAGACTAGAGGGTTTTCTTGTGATACTTTTACACAAGTGTGAATCTTGATATATTTATAATATGCCAGGATTCACATTTTTCCAATAGTGACTTTGACTCACTGTTTCTATTGTTCTCTCTCTGGCCATCCTGCCAGCAGGAAGAGCTTATGGAATATTGGTATAATGCTAGTAGGATCATCCTACTTGCACAGCTAATCTGCTGTCCATTCTATCATTAAAAGAAAACTTAATCAAGTCTTTCCAATTGTAGCAGCAACTACTAAAATATCAAGGAAAATTTTTTAAATTTTGAAATCTCATTTTATTTAATATTTGTTTTTTAATCAGTGCTAACATTAATCCACTTAGTTCATTCTAAATAATTTTTTCTAAATACTGAAGATGAAGTTTTTGTAACTAATGTTTAATTCATTTAAAAATTTTTGCAAATCTCTGATGAAAGTGAGAAACTTTCCAAGGCGCACTAGCTACAAGATAAATTTGGTCTGAAGTTTTGATTGCTATGTAGCCTGTAATCACATTTGCAGAATTATATATAATCTTTTCATCAACTACATATATTTAAATGAACAGATATTTTAAATTAATATGCTTATTGAAATTCAACAATATATTTGAATTTACTGGCAATTCTTATTTTTATCATCATCATCTAAACTCTACTTATCTAAATTATTTATGAAATTCACCACATCTATAAATCAATTGCATTGTTGTTAACAGATATTTTAGGCTTATGACTAATAAGTATACTAAAAAGTTCAACAGAATACATCAGAAACAGATCTAAGAAAGGCTTTGAAGCTCATAGTCATTCCTTTACAGATCATATATATTTTTATTTAAAAATTTCTAAGATAAAAATGAATTATTCTTGTTGTTGCTTGAATTAATTTTATGTTGTCTTTTGAGAACTCCAATATTTCATGTGCATAGAAAAAGACTGTTTTCGATACTTCTGTTTTTGGATTTTCCTCAGATCCAGTTTTTCTTGGAAGATTATGAATCCAAAACAAATGTATTAAGAAGTAATCAAACATGGTTATAGGGGAACATGATTCATAATTTAGCACATACTCATATCAACAGTAATACCCAATCCTATGGGAAATCAAATCTCTAACATGGACGATAACCATGGCACAATGCTAATTGCATTGTATTGGAATATAAACACATCAAGAATAGATTATATAAGAAAATAGCTGATCAAAAAACATGAAGCTAATATACTTATGCAACCTTACTATCTACAGTCTGCTATAAAACAGCAAGGACACCACTGATCATTTATGTCTAACAGGGTAATAGTGTTCTAATAATAGACCAAAGATTTCAACATAACCTAGAGTACATTGGTTCCACCACATGCTGTATAAAAGTGGATAGAAGAGCAAGCCTACAATATTAATAACAAAAAATTCACTACCTTTTTTACACATCCGACAAAGATGTATGTGTGGATTTCCTGAACACCACCCTCATTGGACAGGAATGACAATGTAGTAACATCAGAGCCCAAAAAGCACTGGAAATTTTTAAGGCAGAAGCAAAGGAGAAATGTATAAACTTTAAAGAAGAAAAAATGATTGGCAGACATTTTTCTGTAGTGTCCACCTAACAATTTTCTTGTGAATGTGAAACATGATGGGAACTTGATTATATTTAACCTTTTGATCACTATTCAATATGCTCCATCTAGTTCATTTAATCAGAATTTAATAGGTTATGTGAATGTTCTATAAAAAAGAATGCATAGTAGGATAGTAGGATAATTTAAAATTCGTTAAATACTCCATAAAAAGAATACACATTTAGAAATTATTAATACATTCATTTTGAATTCATAATCTTCCAAGAAAAACTGGACCTGAGGAAGATCCGAAAAGACAAGGATCGAAAATGTTAGTCCATTTCTATGCACACAATATATTGGAGTTACACAAGGGTTCTCAAATGGATATTGTACAGCAACTCCAATCTGTCGAGCATTTATGATATCTATTATATTTTATAAGCAAATATGATAATTATTCAAAAAACTTAAATATAAATTTTTTAGCTTCCTTTGGAAATTTTCTAGAACATTCCTTGAACACCAAATAAGAGATAATTAGTTAATTCTTTAAAATTAATATTCTATTCAAATTACTGAAAAACAGAAAATAAAACGCTTTTAAAATAATGCAGATTTATAACAGGAAAAGGTACATTTGATTATAATTACAGTTATATATAGTTAAAAACAATTAGTTTCAAGGTGTGGAATTAAGTTTTTTGCACAGGCATTTATATCTAGACAGTTCTCTTAATAAATAGTCACCCAAAAAATAGTTAACATATTGTTTTCTTAGCCAAATTTCACTTGAAAATATAAGTTTTAATCTATTGAGAAATTTCAATTTGCTAAGGTGAGTAGCAACATAATAATTTACGATATAATACAATAATAATTATAACTAGTTGTTTTTATTAAACCAGCAATTGTAATTAAAAATAAAAAATGCAATTGATGTGCAAGCTAGCTTATGAAATTTGTGTTCTGAATTTCTAGAGAAAAAGTTACAATATTAAAACATTTCAATATTGTTTGTCTTATCAATGATAATTTATATTCACAAATAAATAAATTGCTGTTAAATGTTTCATAATTAACAAAATTAATAATAGCATCATTCAAGAGATAGGACAATGCAAAACTGAACATAAACCATGAAGACTTGTGATGACCTCTCAAATAAATAGACTTAACTAGCCCATCCACGGTATAACCACTGTATAACTTTGTTCTTCAGAATCTTTTTTATAAATGTACTGAAAACTATAATTTATGGCAAAAATTCAATGATGATGAAATCATTACTGAATGTTCATACAATAGAAATCCATACAACAGTACAGGATGGATAAAATGTTTTATGGTTCATTGCCATAAAGTTGCAGAAATAGAAAAAGACTGTGTATGATAACAACATAACTAAAGAAGCTTTCAAATTCCATTTTATAGTAAATAAGGCATTTTGACATCTGGCTAAGAAATAAATATGTTGTATTATTTTCTGAGTACTTTTTTATACATATACATATATATTAATAGTAAATAAATTACAAAGATAATTGAATTCACAGGTATATTGATATAAATAAATATTTTATTGAATTAAATTAAAAACTAAATAAATAATAAAAGTAAAAATTATGCTTATAAAATTTACATATATGTTTTTTTTATTTAATAAATTCACAATATATGATATAGGATAAATCAACTTTAGAAATGTATCAGAGTATTATTGTAAATAAAATTAAATGTTTAAGAAAAACTTTTTATAATTATTAAAGGGCTAAGTAGAATAACAAAAAGCACATTTCAGAATAATATAAGAAATAAAAACAAATTTGATTTTTAATATTAAATACTCTTTTTCCAAATTCATACATTTTCAGAATTCTTTGTAAATACCCAAGTTAAATTATTAATGTGAAAAAAATCTCTCTTTATATTGAATACTAAAATTTGCTTTTATTCTTGAAATCATTGCAAATATTTTGGAACAAACATTTTGACAGATATTGTATATCAATATCTTTATTACTTAAAATAATAAAGGTATATATAATGGAATAAAATAATATATTAAAATTGTAGTTGTTAAACTTTATTTTTTGTTTAATGAAACTGGATATATTTACATTTTATTTCATTACAGAAATTTTAAAATTTAATAACTATACTTTTGGAAGTAATATCAAGTTAATGAAACATTATAATTCAAAACTGAAATTAGTCTGTAAGATCAATTTTTAAATGCTTTTCTAATGTTCTCTATAAACTGAATACAAAGGTGGCATTGTATTTAAGACAATTATACTGGTGTCAAAAATTAAATAATTAAGTAAACAAATGCTTTTTTGAACAGAACTCTAAAATTATTTAAGCTAAAAAGACCAAAATCAGCACACATATACAAATTTGTTTTATAAATTCACCCATGATAATCTTTTGATTTTACAAACATAAAAATATGCAAATTTTTAATCATTCTTGATAAGTACTTATTGTTGACACATCATACTTCTGTTATTATTTTAAAATTTTACAAATTTTGAATAAATTCTATCATAATGGCTTCACATAATTGTTTATTGGATAATTTATGATGGAGAGCTATTGGAAAGATGGATGCAGGCCAGTCTCAGGTTAAAGTTGCAAAATGGCTTAATGTTAATAAAAATGTGGTCTGTTAATTCTGGAAGCAATTCCAAAAAACTGAAACCATCACCAGACGACCAGGCCAGGAATGAAAAAGAACCACCACAATCCAGGTAGACCACTATCTGGTTGTGACTGCAAAGCATTTTAGGGAATGGCAGCTTCTGAAAACTCCAATGAGCTCTCAGCTATTTCTGGAACAGCTGTTTCAAGATTTCAAGAAGGCCACTTTATTCAAGACAACCAACAACCTTTCAAGGTGTACAAGAGATGTGCACTGATTGAGCGTAGAAGTTGTGCTCCATCTATGCATGCTTGGATCCGGTGTTCTGTAGCCAACTTGGTTAATATGATCATGTTGTGCATTTTTTTTTATCATAGTTATATGATAAAAATGTTTTTTAAATGTCTTAAATGATAAAAATAACTTAAATGTTATGTAAATTGCTTCTTGTCTGATT